GTTTGAGATGGATGTGTACGGTTGATAATATACCATATGATGGATTTATTGAAGTGGATAGAGATGGAAGTGGTTGAAGTAGAGTAGAGTAGAGTGGATATAATATGATATACACATGTATCTATAGATATTACAAAATAAAGCTACATTTTTTATAATCTTACAAAGATAAATCCTGATTCTTGCCGTTGGCGGTTTTCTGAAGAGTCATTCCTGCATACCTGGGTAGTGTAAGGAAGTTTTGGAGTTGATATGATTTAGGTGTGAGTTGAGAGTAGGCTTTGAAAAAAATTGTTCTTGGTGAGGAATTTGGGAATTAGTTTTTATTTCGTATTTTGTATCTTCTATTGATAAATTGTATATATACTCGAGTGCAATATATACATTCGCTTGAATGTATGTATCTCCCAAGCTGTATTCTGTATCTAGTATTCAGTATCCAATCCAGAATCTCCGAAGAATACCTACATAGAAATAGCGCGGTACGATACGGTCAAAAGTTGATTTTATCATGAGAGTGTCCATTGAGAAATCGGATTTATTGTGGTGATGGGATTGTTGGATATTAAGTCCTGGATTGTGAGAAGGTATGTCGGTATGTAGGCATAGCTTTGTGAAGTGATTAGTAAATGAAGATTTTAAATTTGTAGAGGGATATGGAGATAGCGTGGGGGTTAGATTCTGGAGATGTTCTAGGTACTTGATCTATTTCTTCGAACTGGAAGAATGAGTATTCCTTGTCCATTTATTTGTGACTGGGGAGAATTGTTTGTGTTTTGGATTTGGGTTTATGCGCGATGTGAACTGAGGAATTGATGATTGTTTGGGCCTTACGAGTGTCTGGTTTGAATTTGATGGCTATGGTGATCGCTGGCTTGGTGAGGTGAGGGGTACATATATTTGATTATGTTTTGTCGGCTTCGACCTTGGGCAGGAAGATACTGGACATATAGTGGGATGAGTGGAAAAACGGAATAGTTGAATTTAAGTTCGCGTGGCTAGGAACGTATTGCTCGTTGATCTTTTTGAGTTTGAGAGGAATAAGAGATGTAGCTGCTAGATGTACCAAAAATTCATAAAGAAACGTAGCTTTGAACGACATCATGCAAAAGGAGTGAGCAGAGGGGTCGAGTTTCGATGAGCTAATTCTGATGTCTTCCAGAAAGACCTCTTTCTATCAAAGTATCTGTTTGGGGATCAAAGTTCGATGTTCGCAATCTTTTGACTCTCGAACTTCAAAGAAGGAAAATTCTTTGAAAGAATGAACAAAATCAGTTCATGTACTTCTTTTGAAATTTTTTGAAACGCAAACTAGGTAAGTCAAAATGAATAAGAAGATGGAAGGAATACTTGAGCATAAACTGATACATTCTCTTGAGCAGAGGATAAAAAGGTAGTGCATGTTGTGATATCCATTAGTCTCCTGATGTTGTTTAGAACTTCAAGCATATTCATACTAGGTAGGCACTGCGGAGCAAGTTATCCCTTATTCTAGCACACGACTAGCATGCGACTAGCAAAATTTCACACTCGTTGAAATCAAGCATCAAGCTGTCGTTTGGACTTGTTCTCGTAAATGAATATGGGATTCTTAATATAATTGCCGAAGTACTGATGAATCTGAGAACAAGATAAGCGAATCCATTAATGTAGATCTCGGGACGAGAATGATAGAGTTTGAAGTCGGATAGTCGGATGAACAACAATCCGAAGTTGTTATAGGATTGCACAATAGCTCAATGAAGATGAGTATGAGTGAAGGAGAATCGGAGGTAGAATCATGAGGGTGAAACATGGTTTTCTGTGGACACCACCTCTGGTTCCGCTTCTCCTAATTCCTATCAGCTTGTTTCATCGCATCAAGCTACTTCTGCAGGATTTGTATTGCTATAATCACTCTGGGAATGTACAGCCCCATGATATTCTGTTAATCATCTCTTTTGTATACAACATAATCGCATGCAGTCTATCGTTTTACCTGATCTGGCGCAATCTCAGTATTTACGTCCACCCCAAAACGCAACAGTTGTAAGTCAACTAGCTTTTGGTCTAATTCCAGAACGTTCTCGGACAAGATTCGCTATAATTATACGAATCCTTTTCATGGTCCCTGTATACACAACTTGTGGCATATTCAGTATCCAGTACTATAGAGAGAATGTTTACATTGGTGCCATATACGAATTTTATGAGTCAGTTGTCATCGCTTTGTTTTTTCTACTGCTCTGCAAATATTTGCATATAGAAATTCATTCGCTCCGTAGAGTATTTGCTCTTGTCCAGCCCAAGCCTTGGCTATATCCATTCCGATTCCTGAGAATGAAAATCTGGCGTAATAAAACCACTTATACAGAAGATGGGCTAAAGTGGTTTGGAGTGAGTCTATAGTCTCAGCAGCGTTCAACCCAGTAGAACTCAAAAGCGTTGCTAACGAAGGACTTTTACAGATTCTTTGGGCTGCCGTATTTCAGTTTTGTGTAGTGAAACTCCCTGGAGCTCTTGTTAAATGTATTACAGAAGCTGCAGGTGTCTCCTGCGAAGATACCAGCAGTGTTGAACATGGCAGGATTTGGGTACGTGGATAAGCCGTATTGGAAGTGAAGAGAAAGGCCCCACAAACTAAGTGCTGCAAGCAGATCCAGATCGTTGAGAATATTTGTCTGGTCACCGCCATGTTTTGTCTGCTTCAATTCTATAGCCAGACTAAGGTATTCCTCGCGGAACGAAACCCGCTTCTCAAGTTTGTGGTCATCAAGTTGGTTGTGTTCCTATTTTATGTCCAATCAGTAAGCTTGTATGACTTCCTACATATGGTTCCCAACGTTGACGCCACTAGTTCATCTTCGGACGACTTACCACCGAAGACGGAAAATCATAGCCCACAGATAAAGTATCGTATCCTTCAGTATATATCGGCATTTCAAACACGCTGCTATGCGTCGAGATGGCAGGAGTAGCGGTCCTCCATCTTTGGGCATATCCGTGGCAAGAATATGGTAGCAATATGATTCGGACTTCGGAAAGTCCTAGTTCCGACAACATGATGCATCTCTCTTACCAACAAAACTCTTTTGCGTTACCCTGGTGGCAAGCGCTTGTCCATGTCCTCAGATTTGGCGATGTCTTAAAAGGCTTTGTGGAAGGCTTTCACAGGCTTCGAAGCATTCGACAAAAATGCAATCATGGCCCACTACGTGGATGCAGGGATAGAAGGCAGGGCAAGCCCATACAATACAAAGAATCTTTCTGAGGCTTTGGACTTGGTGTATCAAGGCCCAGCTGAAAATTGAGTCTTACATTGGCTGCAGATTGTGTAATTTGAGGATTAGGGACGAGTTGTAGTAAAACAACACATTGTGATGAGGGCAGAAACAAGATAATATTGTTAGATGAAGGCAAAATTCAAAACCACTTAGAGGCGAGAATTCGCTGCTGGTTACCCAAATCACTACTGACCTGCTTGTATGATGCTTGGATTGGGTTGAGCGAATAGGAAATCTTGTTATCTCCTGGCCGTTCACCACGAGATTTGCAACAGAGATTTGCCAAGTAACACTGGTTACTGGACCTAAGTCTCAGGATTGTGGGGAATACAAACACTTATTTATGATAGTTCATGATTTCGTAGTTACTTTCATCAGTTTGTTTGGCGTACTTTCTTCGCATTAGAATTAAGTAAACCTTTGATAGAGGTCGAAGCCAGTCCTACCTTCAAGCATTGTGGTGAGTAATACCTCAGCTAAACTCAAGATCTAAGCTCGATTACATTGCGCTTCAGAGATATGTCACACTCGTTAAGATATTGCGCGAGTCGGATTGATGGAAAGGGCCGGGATCGTATGTTTGCACTTACTCGAGCTTGAAAAGGTCTCATATGTGACTAGTATGGAATAGTGGTAATTTCGGTTGGTACAGAAACGAGTTGTAAAAGTCTCCGACTACGAATATTAAGACTAGGCTAGAATCCGTGCCTGCTCCCGTTCTTAAACTTCAACCTCTAGAAGAATAGCTGAAAACCTTTGTATATCTCTCCCTCTCTCAGTGAGAAACCGCGTTGCGAGCTTTAGATGCCCAAGTCAAAGAGAACTACATCATACGAGTAAGAGGTCATCGAGCAAGGACCTTAGATCAGGATCTTGACTAACTCTGATTGACTAGCTCTTGGGGTACGTCCAGCCACTCTCCAAACATTCGGGAGTATAGGAAGAACGATTCCAAACATTTGTGCTAACAGTGAGGCGCAAAAAGTGTCTTTCATGCTACAGCACGGACCAGGGACTACCAAGTGACAAGAAGAGTCCTTCCTAGCATTGCAAAATGAAACCAACCCTTTCCTGTTTCAGCTTCTCTAAATTCTTCTAGGCGTGTTCAGAATTCTATGATACCGCTTGCACCACAGGCTTTTCCTGGTCAGGCGCACAGCTTGTGCAGCCGTCTCCAATGCTTTCACCATTCCCACAGATGTGAAATGTCCAGGTGTGCAAAGCTCTTGGTTTCTGTCCCTTCGGTATCCACCAGCTTGAAATTTGGGTTTGTGACGGGAAGATACAGCGGGCGGCTAAGTATTGCAAAGTCACACACGTTGAGAATGGGAAATCATCGGTGACTACCCAATATCCCGGCAGCTCAAATCTCAAGCCATCGTACTTTAGATAGGAGAGCCAGGCAAGAAAGAGGACAACTGTCCATGGGGTGTGGTGATCTGCACCTAAGAGGCCTACGGATGGCGTTTTACCGAGGCTTCCGACAATTGAGTTGAAATAAGGGTCTTAGCTACCGTTGCCTGTTAGAAATAAAAAGTATTGCGGGAGCCGGAAGCGGAACGAGAAGAATCCGACGCACCGGATAGCACATGAATTGGAATGGTTATTCGTAAATGAAACGACTTGGAGACTCTGGAGAGGCAGAGACGTCAATCAAAGAATACATATGAGCCAAAAATAATGAATGGCGTATGGGGGGTCGTTCTTTGGTAGTTGATCAAGATTGAACTTCAATCGATGCATTTGCAAAAGCCGAACGAGTGTAACTTTAAGGTTTTCCTTGGAGCATCTGTGGCGCCAATGAATCCTGAAGCAGATTCAACTGTGGCTGTGGCTATGCGACGCAGACGCTCTACCTGTCACGCACGGATGGATGTAAGATTAATTACAACGTTTACATGCTTGAATATCAGACCTCGGGAGCCTTCAAATTCACAACAAGCAAACTGATTTATAATTAGAATCAAACACTTGGGTAGAATATCAAAAATACTTGAACTTTGCCGTAAGATACGCCACCAACTTACCAATCTCAGTCATTTCCACCGGAATCGTCATCTTCTTCATCCTCATTATCCTCATCTTCCTTTAAATCAAACACATTGCTATTGGCTTTGCTTCCCGTGATACCGTTACTTGAGTTTTCTTCCTCACTTGCCTCTCAGAACTCTCACTTTCGGTAACAGTTGCGTTGTCGTTCCACCTAAGAGGCTTCTCTCTACTCTTAAGCTCGACTTCGGGCTCAGGGTCATACTCAGTACCACGCTCCTCGAACGAACAATCGGGTTGTAAAGTGTCTCTTGGTCGGGTACGAAGTCGCAGGAAATGCTTCGCTCGATGATGACTCCACTCAGAACTTTCACCCACAGACCGGATCCTCTAATGCAACCGCTCTAGGTGCTGGCCTTGCTGCTCTTGTAATTTGCTGCATGCAACTAGCTTCAGTACATACGCAAATGTCCCGGCAAAAGGACCATTTAGATGCACCAAGCTCTTTGGCTCTTGATGATGTTCGACAGGTCAAAAATCACGAAAATATGAAAGCTGCCCTAAGACTATTGGTACTAACCCAGATAGCGATAATAAGCAATTGAGGTATGGAGACTGTTTGACGAGGCAATCAAAGATATGACTGGAAAGGACAAAGAAAAACAATTAGGAGTGATAGTAGCATTGGCTTATAAGTTCAGGGCTTATTGATGAGATCATTGGGCACTGCATACGAAACCCGCATGTTTATCTATTACTTCATATTCTCTCTTGAAGTGCTCAGAAATTCGCTTAATACTACTTATTTAAGAATGTTGAATAGTATGTAATTTTGATCGCCCAAAATGTTATGAAACCGCTTATTCATTTCCTCAAACAATTCTTGAGATGCCATTGCCAATTTTATATGAAAGAAAGGATACTCTCATAATAACTTGGTAAAACGAGAACGATGATCTTAAGCAAATTTCCTCTGGCATGTCGTCTTTCTATTTTGATACTATCCATCACTGCCTAGGGATCTGAGAATTACTGGAAAGGGGAAACCCGAGCTCGTCAAATAGACTGATGACTATTCAGCTTTTTTTTAGCAGTTCCGAGCCCGAAGCAATGTCAGTGGAACATTATTCTTGAAGCTATTACTCTAGCTTTCTCGAAACGCAAATAGCACTTCTAGGACGATCAAAATATGGCTGCCAAAAATCCGGGTCCTTTAAACCACTTATTAGTCAAAGGAGCTCGGTTAATTAAAGATGAAGCTTTGCTTACCTGCATTTGAAGGTGCTTTTCGCCTGGGAAAACCACATTCCATTCGAGCTGACCCATGCCTGCTTTAGCAGCTGCCTGACGATAAACTTCCTCTCGCAAGAAATAAAATTCGAACTTAACGTCGTTCCCACCCGTTCCCACACTAGAGAGAAGCATCTTGTATCCGCCCTCGACGATCCCAATAACATCATAGACTGAGCCAAGAGATACCTCTCTTTGGTTGAGTGGGTCACTTGGTTGAAAACTGTCGGTAATTGGCGCGTTAACAGTCATTGCGATCATGATTCCTCCAGGCTTCAGGGCCAAACATATATTTTCAAACATTTTTCGCATCTCCTCTTGTGTTTCTGCATAATTCAACAACCAAGCTGCGACAACGACATCATAAGTTCCTTCTTTGCCACGAAGCTGGACCTCATTCCACATAGATGATTGAGCACAATTCGCAGTGCAGAAAGCGACATGATCTTTCATCTGAAATGGAGTCTTGCTTTGAGCAGCAGAGACCATAACGGATGAGATATCAACCGCAGTCACATGGGAAGCGCCCATATTCAACATTTTGAAAGTATAGAAGCCTGTTCCACACGCAAGTTCAAGGATTCTTTTGGATTGAACAATGGGGCCGAGGTGTTCCATCATAGCTGCATGATTTATCTGCTGAATTGGAAGATCGGAAAGAAGGTCATAATTGGCACCAATCGCATCATATTGTGTTGACATCGTCGCTCAAGGTCTTTAGCAAGGTTTGATGTTGCTTATGATCATGTATCAGGAGCAATTAGAGAGATGTGGTTGATGGTAGTCAACCTCTCAGTTTGATTTATCATCCAGATTATATAGTCAATATGTGTCTCGCGCTCTTTGCTAGAATTAGATGAATGTAACCTTCCTATCCTGACGAGATCGGCTAAGTTTAATACCTCACCGTGTACGGAAAAACTAGTACACCAAACTCACCATAAATAAATAAAAAACTTGTAAAAAATACTATCATTTTGAAATTGAATAACAAATCGAAAGAATATCTTTGGTTTGATAAACAAGAAACGGCTTGTAGTTTAAGAGCTCTTTCATATCTTTTATATATATATACTATAGTTCATCAGCATATAGGCCCCTTTAAAAATATGCTAAAATCGAGCTTTTCTTAATATTTATATTTTAATAATTAATCATTTTTTTTAAAAATCATAAAAATCATATTAAAATAAAATACTTAAAATATTTAGACTTTTTTCTAAATAATTTATTTTAGTTTAAAATTGTTATACTTTATATTATAAAAACTCTTTTTCTTTAATAACTTCAATAATAATTGAAACTTTTTGATAAAGAATTAGATTTTTGAAATAATAAAAAATTAAGTTTTAACGTGATTCATCACCGAGTGAATCATATCACCGAGTGAATTACTTTCATCTCAATTAACACATTCAAATTCATATTATTCAACAATTATTAATTCAATTAATTAAAACTATTAAGAATCTAATAATCTAGAATCTATTATATCAATTTGATAAGTTCTTATATTATAACCTATCTTTCCACAATTACTACAATATCAACTAGAAGATACTTCCCTATTAGAATTCTTTTCATTTTGATACTTATCATGTCGAATCTGAATATCAACTTTTTACTAAGATAATATATCTATAGCCTCCTATCCAATAAATACTTCTCCTTAACGTATTTGTATCTTTTTTATATGTCGATATTAGCTTAATACTTCATTAACTTTTCAAAGTGTATGGTTTTCTATACTTAAAAGTGTATTCTTATATACTAATCTCTTTATATTCTTAACTAGAACTAGTACAATCTCAAATAAAGGTGTAGAAGAGCTTGATTGATAACGAGTTATTCGAGATTTAATTAGTGTTGATTGAGAAAGAGCTTTTGTAGGATTATAAGGAGTTTGAGAGACCCAAAGATCTAAATTGAAAGGGGGGGGAGTAGACGTATAGATTCGAATATCTAATTTGGAAAGCACTGCTTCAGGATCAAATGGAATTAATCCTACTCTTTGAAACCCAGCTTTCATATTCTGATTTATGATTGACCATTGATATACAGCTTTGAAAGTTATAAAGAATTCGATCTTTAAGATATGATTAATATATGCTCTTATAAACCCCTCAATTTGAGTACTATATTTTCGTTTTAAAGTACTAAAACATTTAATATTAAGAGGCTGAGTTAAATGATTTGAATGTGATGGTAAACATATACATTTAATATCATTCTCTTTGTAATAATTCTGGAATGGTATTGATTCATGACTTTCATATCTATCCAGTATTAGCATTCTATATTTGCCCTTAATTTGATTTCTTGTATGTTTATTGAAGTATTTCAATCATTTTAATTCTATCTCATTGTTCATTCATCTATTAGAAGTAGATTTAATAGTTCAATCTGTAGAAAGATTAGTTTCTGTATACCAATTGGAAAGATACATCTGTCCTTGAACTATCAGAAATGGAGGTATAATGTCCCCCTCACTATTGCTATATATAATCGCTATTGCTCATTCTCGATTGCCTGGTTATATAGCTTTACTCCTATTGAATCTCTCAGAGCTAGTAATAACTATATCAGTATTTATAATTCCCATTATAAAGCCTGTTTTATCGAAATTCTATAAATTATAATCGAGAATATCAAATTTGTCTTGTATATTCAATATAAGTTGGAACCAATCTCTAATAAGTTTAGGATCTTCGCAAAAAGCTTTTTGAAAGTCATAAATGCGAGTAAAACGTGTCCTTAACTCTTTATTACGTTTTACGAATCGATACGCCCATTGCTTTCCAACTCTCTTTACTCCTTTTGATTCAAGAATATAATTCGCTATATCTTCTACCCCCTTATGTTTAGGTGTAAAACCTTTTATATCCATATCAATTATATATTGGATAATAATCTCCTTTTCTAATTTCGAAAGGTTACTACCATTTGATAGAGATTCGATATGAAAAGTAAAATTATTTATTCTATAGTATAATGTTGTATATAGTATATTATATAGCTTAGCAGATTGTCGAATACTAAGTTTTTTATCTTTTCGAATAGCCTTGATGACTAAGAGTATTCGAGTTTCATTATTATTCGATTGTATAATAATTGATTGATAAAACGCGTATTGAATTGAAACGTGAATATTTGAGGTGAAAGTGATCCACTCGGTGATATGATCCATTCGGTGATGAATCACGTTATATAGAAAATTTTCCAGTAATTTTATTAATTAAAAAAAAGTGTACAATTATATACAAACGAATTTTGTATATAAAATAAAATGACTCGTAATAATATGATTTATATACTAATGAACTACGTTATAAGAATATTGAATATTTGGTTTTGTAAAGAGCTTTAAATATGTGAAATATCTCCACTTGTCATGCTATTTTTTCCGTACACGATGAATATTCATTAATCACTAGAGAAAGATTTGTGGAATTATATGGATTGAAGTTTCTATGAAAGAGGAGATCGTGGAGACCTCTGAATAAGCTATTATTGCTTAGTCAGCTACTATACTGACGACATCCTACATATCCTAGGGTCCACCAGTCTTTGCTCTGTGATTATTGGCCATACTGTCCATGCCACCTTCCTCATTTGATGAATGTTGCAGTCACCAGCTTGCATGAATGACGGTGGAAAATGTGAAAAGTACCTATCGCTGTCCCTGGATTTTGTGCCTCTCCACATTTCCCTCAATCATGTTGAGATAATCTAGCCTTTGAGCCTCAAACCCTTCCTGGTAGTCCCGACTGACCAATATCTTGGTCTCGAAACTAGGCATTTCCCATTGTCTTTTATCAGGTCCATCTCGCTCATCTGTAATGTTAGTCGCGAAGCTCTTTGAGCGACTTGCGACATCATCATTCCATTTCTCCCTCTCAACATCTAGTACTTCTTCATCCACGACAAAACTTTCGCTTTCCACCATGTGCCTTGCAACAGAGTACGGTGGAAATGGTTCTGGAGCTAGAAGGGGTGCATCCCGCGCTTTTGAAAGCTCAAACATCTCAATACATCTGCAAGGAAGATGTCATCCATCTTGAAGAACAACGTCACTCTCTGTACAAGGATGCGGAGGGTCTTGACCAGCTATAATATAGACTTTTCTACGCCGCCGAATGTGCCTATTAACCTAGTTAAGGGTTTATGTATGTCTCCGTCCGAAGTGCGTGCAAAATTGGGCAATCACCTGATTGGTAATGCAAGGTTCTTCACTTTATTAAAGCCTCCTGTATCTTGGTTGCCGTGAATTGATCGTGGAAGAGCAGAGAGAAAATCGCTTAGCTGGGCGGTTATATGTTGCTGAGGCAGGTATAGAATATCCCATTTGAAGTCAAACCAAGTTTCGGCAAGAGTATGGGTGTCTTCGCGGTACCTATTTATAAAGGCACGCTCATAAAATCTTGTTGCGATATGATAAGATTCTCGATCAACAAACAAGATGTCAGGAACTGGAGTTTGTGATCTGAACGCCCAAACTTCGTCCACAGAATTTACAGGTGACTTCACGGGGCTGTGAGTTAAAACGACCACCCTAGGTAGGGGAATACAGTATTCCCATACGAATAGGCGGATGTCCGTGGGCAAATCGTTGAATTGAGCGAACAACGCCGGCCTGATCTCTGTTCTGGAAGATAGGGACATTGTGTTGTGAATGTTGATGGAATTGCTTGTGTTGTTGATGAAGGCGATTTTAGGGCTTATGTAGACGCACACAAAGAGCTAAATTCTGACTCAGCATATAGGAACTTGACTTGATATCACACTGTTTTCTTTATTCTCTAGTCTTTCGAACAAAATTGAGTACTTATTTGACAATGAATTTTGCAACTTTGCATGAGACAGATAAATGTATAATTAAATTAAGAATTGAACACAAACATGCGAATGCGAACAAGAGCCTGCCCACCTAGGTAGCTTTTCAAGACAGAGAAATAGTTTAATCAAAGCAGACAAATAACAGTTTATCAGAGTCAAAGATGATAACGAGGAGTCACTGTTGATCAAATACAAGAAATCAAGAACATCACGTGCAAGGAAGAATCAACAATCATATGGCAACTGTTTTTCATTTTGATTCCCCGTCATTTGATATGATCTGGTTTTTTTATACAACAAAGGAAGTTTTAATATTGAATTACTGGCCTCAGCTCAATCTTTTCCATGCCGATGATTCTGCAGTGTAATGATTATCAGAATCTGAAGCTCTTCATAAATTGTTCAGCCTTAACACCGCGGCCCCGGTTGAAAGGACGAAATATGGAAATGAGACGAGTAAACGAGAAAGCAGTTATCGAAAGTGATACGAAGGCTAAGCAAAGATGCGATTTTTGAATGTACGTGAGACAATGTGACTGCGCCGAAGAGTATGATTTCCTCAATGGCTAGATGACCACTAGAATATTGATTCAAGCGAATCTCTCCGTAAAGATGCTCCTTGGCCAGAAAACTCAAGGAACAGTAAGTGCCACATTCATCCCCTAGCATAAGGATGAAAGCCTCTATTGCCACCCCTTCCACCACCCCTATAGTTCGCACCAGGCTTTCCAGCATTCTTCGGACCTGTCGGAGCACCGGCAGGAGCATTTGGTGCGGCCGCAGGAGGAGCAGATCCCCTGTCACTTCCTCCACCTCCACCTCCACGACCTCTTCCACCAAATCCACCACGAGCTCCGCCACCACCACCACTGCCTGGCTGAGGAACATCGTCATACATACCCTCCCAAGAAGTTGGTCCACCACCACCTCCACCCATTCCATATCCACCGCCACCACCGCCGCCTCCATATTGAGATTGTTCGCGTTGAGCACGTCTCATTTGTTGTTGTTCGTACTTTTGTTGCTCGAAGAGGCCTTGTTCATAGGCATTGTAGCCAGGCGTACCCATTCGACCACCTGGGTTACTCCCACCTCCAGCCGGAAAGTTACCTCCTTGTCCACCCATGGCCTGTTGCATTTGCATTTGTTGCATTTGCTGCATCTGTTGCATCATAGCTGGATTCATACTAGCCATTGCCGCCATTCCAGCTGTTGGACTTTGAGGACTTTGACTACGCGCGCCAGCACCACCTCCCCCTTGCATTTGTTGTTGCATTTGTTGCATTTGCTGCATCTGAGCCATTTGGGCCATCATGGCAGGATTCATGCCACCGGGCATTCCACCAGGCATTTGTCCTCGCCCCCCGCCCATGGCCATTTGTTGTTGCATCAGTGCAAAATATTGTTGCATGCGCTGCCAATATTGAGCCATTAATTGAGGAGTCATACCACCTGGGACATTCATCTGGCCACCTTGTTGCTGTTGATTAGAATTCTGAAATTCTTCATTGGGGTTTCCTCCTTTCTTGAATCGACTGCCTCGTGGCCCCCTGGTTTCTTCCTCTTCTCGTATGTTGCCTCGAGGCTGGGCTTTCTTGACCTCGATTGGCTTTCCATGAATTTCGAGTGGAGCCTCCAAGCATGCTTCAACAGCGGCTTCACTATCGAATGTGACGAATCCAAATCCTCGTGGTCTACCAGTGTCTTTGTCCATCATAAGAGTGGCATCTACAACTCGTCCAAATTGTGTAAAGTACTCTTTGAAATCTTGTTCGGAAGCATCCTGACTGACACCACCAACGAAAATCTTGCTTGTACGTTCTTGCTCGTCTCTGGGAATAGCGCGTTTGGGATCAATCTTAAAAGTTGAATGTGAGTGAGTGCCTTTTGAAGCCAATGGGAGAATTTTGGAAGGATAAGAGCGTAAAGAATTGTTAAAAGTTTTGAGATCGGGTCTTACTATTTTGCCGTCAAGGTAATGTTCTTTAACCATGACAATATTGACAGTCCGGGCATCTTTGAATGTCAGGAATCCAAATCCTCGAGATCGACCAGAGGCACCATCTCTCATAACAGTACATTCGAGTACTTCACCAAATTGTGAGAAGTAATCCTTCAATGATTCTAAAATCTAGAGTTAGTGGTCATACAGGGGTTAAGCGTAACATTGAATTTGGCCATCTCACCATCTGTCGTTTCCCAATTCAATCCACCAATGAACATTTTACTAAGCAGGAAAAAGTTAGCATTCTGGCCATACTTATCAATTCATATGGCGACAATGAGAACATGCAAAGAAGTCGTCCCATATTAGTTATCTTCAAAGCAATCAGTGCACCAGTGCTTTCTCTTAGGCTGTTTCATATCTCGAGACGAGATGACATCCAATTCTCCATTGTTGACTGGAAAAATAATTTGTAACTGGGCTGCAGGCGAAGGAGCAAGGGTAGGTTGGGGTTTAAGGGACCACATCTGGCATTTGATGGAGCTTTCGACATATCCAGCATGATGTTAATGCCAGGTACACGCCCAAGCAATGACCGTCTAACATTGCCTGCAAATCATGCAATAACGATAGAACAGATGGCACCATAAGACATCCAAAAAAAAATCGCGTTTTTTTGCTATCGTGATGCTAGGTACTGGCGTCGAAGCTATGGGCTATGGCCTATCTGTGTCTGTGGCTCTATGAAGATTATATCGACAATAGGCTATGTAGTAGTAGTAGCAGGTTTGACTATTGCCGTTGTGGATGGCGAATGCATGTGGTGTGTATACCCAATTATCTCAAATCAAATGACTCTGAGCTTATTCCAACGCCATTCCCTCTCCATGTTCCTTTAGCCTTGAACCAAGTCCAAAGTATATACCCAATGCCAAAGCAGGATATAGTATTGGATCAAGCGCCCCAAGACCCCTTCACACAGCCAATTTAACCCCCGAAAGCTCCCATCCAAATTTACCCGTCTCAATCTCACTTGATTCCATTCCTGATCACAACTCCAGTCTCCAAATGTGCTGCCAGTTCATATCCTGACTGCATCAATCCCAACCCATCATATCCATGATCTTCATATACCATGCTTGGTGTGAGTTGAGCCCGGAGCTCCGTGACTACAGTCATATTGCAAATGTGCAGAATAGCAATGATAAAGTGTAAAAGAAAAAGTTTGTAATCTTACCCATCTTCCTTGATACCTGGTCCTTGTGCTTCATCCCTGGCCGAAGGAGCATCATAACCACCCCCATTGCCATTCCCGCTTCCCAGATTGAAATCTATGTCCTCATCCACATCTTGTTCACCATTGTACATTTGTTGATCTCCATCTCCATCTCCATTTTGTGGATTTTGTTCAATATCCTGTTCGGCTTGTATTTCAGCTTTGGTTTCTGTGGTTGGGGCTGATGGTTGGACAGTAGGTTCGGCCACTGCCTCTGATGGGTTTGCGGCGTTATCATCTTCGGTGTACCTAAATGCAATGTGTCAGCTGAATGTTTTGCGACGTGTTGATAGAGGTGCGACCACCCGTAAAATTTTGGACAGTAGGTGTAAGGTGAATAGTACATACAGGTCAGCGAAGAGATCTTCCTCGAAATTCTCGGCTTCAGCCATGATGAGTCTGTCTGCTTTCTGTGAGATAAGTTGATCAAATTCAATCCAGGGTAAACTAGTAAAGTGATGCGCGACTGCCGTTTCGTATGCTTCTCGATGAAGAAGCGTTGCGAAAGGGCTGCAGTCTTGATTGCAAGTTACTAGAAGCAATGAGAAGAGTCAAGAAGTGTGTCGAGAGAGTTCTCGAGGTTGAGACTTCAATGGAAAGGAAATTGTAAGTGATGTAAATAGAGAGAAAAGGATTGATATGGAGATTCCAATTCAAGAGAGTAAATATCTAAATTGAAGGTCTGCTAGGGAGGAAAGGCCTTAAACCCAATAATAACATTTGAATCGATAGCATGGCGCGCCCTGGTCCGTTCCGCCTTAGTATGATTTTAGCGTACCAATTTTGAGCTAGCGGGGCTTTCCCCGCCTGAGCCTGCGCAATCTACCCGTACCATACCACATTCAAACAAAAGGAACAGTAATGACCTTCGAAATATAGAAAGACTACGAAAGGAATGAAAAACGGAGTATTGCAACTAGGTCGACCACTCTATGACGGGTTGTGAAGATGTTCTCTTCTTCCAATGGTAGCAAGAAACCAGTACAACAGGTGTGTATTGCCATTGTCCAAGTTGCCTGTGTTATCCAGCTGACTCGAGCCACTATTGTAGGAGATGGTTCAGGTTGGTCAGTTTACCCCCCCCGTACCTTCTATCTTGAAGAATGCGCAGATTTCTGCATGTTGAACTATGCGCAATGTGTTCTCTTTATCCAACTGATAACTAACCTTACATTGTAGAACGTGCCGAGTACGTTTCCAATCGAGATCTCTTTGCGCCCCGCTTGGCAGAAGCTTTGAGTTGCAGGTTTGAGATATGAATCCCAGGGACTGACATGAACAGATCATCATCTCCTTTTTGGCGTGCCCGAACAGCAAGTGGTCGCCGTGATGCATCGCCTAAGAAGCAAAGTAGCGATTCGGGACCCGGACTTGTTGTAGGAGCTGGATACTCTCATGCCGACATACTGAAGTTTGATAACCTGCACGTTTCACAATGTCGTCGTATTATAGAATACCAACTAACCTAGAATTTAGATCATTATCTAACACTTCACGCCCCAGAACACCTCCATCCAATCCCTCGCACAAGCATCGAAGCAATACTCCACCGCAACGAGGTCCGGCAACATTGTCCCCGCCACCTCGTAGGACCTATACAGATTTCATATCGCATACCAATAATGATTGGGCTGCAGATGATGAAGAGGAGGAAGAAGACGAGTATGGATATGAGGATGATGATGGGGATGATTTCGGCCTTCCAAGTATCTCCAGCAAGAAGCGCAAGAACCAGAGCCGTCTGAAAAGTGCGTCGGCTGGTACCGCAGTTGAAGAAGGCAGTACCGCTCCGTGGCGCTCTAGTTTTGGGGCGAGTGCAATGGGCTTAGGGTCGCGAAGAATGTCAAACAGTGCAGATATTGCAATCGAAAGACCAGCGCCAAGTTACCCAGTTGCAAAAAAGAGCGAAGGGAAGATACTCCGGCCTCAATATAAAGAAATACTTCGGGATCCAGCAAATTCTCTACATCTAATAGATCACCCTCCAGTACCACTTAATGCCACATCGAAAGAAGTAGATGCATACGGAGCCCGGATAACACGAATAAATAAATTTAAAAAGATATTACAAGCTACATCGATACCTTTGACCGAACTCAGAGATGCCTCTTGGAATGGAATACCAGAGGAAGTTCGTGCAATGTCATGGCAACTCCTACTTGGTTATCTCCCGACTAGCAGCGAAAGACGCGTGGGCACACTAGAACGTAAACGAAAAGAATATCTTGATGGGGTACGACAAGCTTTCGAAAAAGGCGGCACTAGTTCTGCTCCCACTGGCAAAGCCAGAGGACTTGATGAAGCAATTTGGCACCAGATCAGCATCGACGTTCCACGAACTAATCCTCACTTAGAGCTTTACAGTTATGAAGCTACACAACGATCTTTAGAAAGGATACTATATGTTTGGGCGATTCGCCATCCTGCAAGTGGTTATGTTCAAGGTATTAATGACCTTGTCACGCCATTCTGGCAGGTTTTCCTCGCTACCTATATCGCAGATTCAGATGTAGAAAGTGGTATGGATCCAGGGCAGCTTCCAAAACCAGTCTTAGATGCAGTTGAAGCAGATTCATTTTGGTGTTTAACAAAACTTTTGGATGGCATTCAGGATAACTATATTTTTGCGCAGCCAGGGATTCAACGTCAAGTGGCTTCACTTCGGGATCTAACCGCAAGGATTGATGAACCACTGGCCAAGCATCTCCAAGCAGAAGGCGTTGAATTTATACAATTTAGTTTCCGATGGATGAACTGTCTTTTGATGCGGGAGATTAGTGTTCAGAATACTATTAGAATGTGGGACACTTACTTGGTTAGTAACAGATGCTTCCTTTTTTTCCCCACCACTAACACGAACTATCAGGCCGAAGAGCAAGGGTTTTCAGAGTTTCACTTATATGTGTGCCTTGCATTTCTTGTAAAATGGTCCTCTAAATTGCTGAAGATGGACTTTCAAGAAATCATGATGTTTCTTCAGGCTCTACCAACGCGGAACTGGACGGAGACTGATATCAACATGCTTCTGGGAGAAGCATTTGTATGGCAATCCCTTTTTAAGGGCTCTTCATCACATTTACGTGGCAGCAGTAGTACTACACCTTCGAGTGCCCCTTATTAAATAAGCTTTGGATAGAAGCACTATACCAAATATCCACACTATTCAATATTGTGGATGAATGACTGGGATTCAGGTTATTATGGCGTTATTGGCGAGCGGTACATGAGAGACTCACAAGTCAGGTGTATATAACGACAGAGCCACAAAGATGTGTGGATTGGCAGAGGAATAATCATGCGTGTTGAGCTTTTGATATCACGGGATTTGGGGTCAGGACTTGGATTGGGCCAAGTCGTTCATCCCTTGGAGGAGACCTTAAGTTTCAACGTTCGTCGGCTAAGCTGCTGGGGTTACATTTATATGCACTTCTCAAACTAGGCAGATTAATAAAAGACAGAGTTCTGAGATGGATGTGCATTGATTTATGTCCACGTATTATGTTCTGTTTAATTATGTGAATCAGGTAACACAATGCTATGGATGATAAGGTGGGATACTTAATCATATCTCGATACTATGATGTGGGAATGTAGCCATGTGTTGATGACAGTTATTACACCTGACGATATCTCCAGCGTAAAATTAAGAGTTCATCTTCAGTATCTCTGATTTCACCCTGCACAAAATGTAACTTTGCTGATCATTGAATTACTGTTTAAAAATTGAAAAGATTCGATACTGTATTCCATCGAGACTTGTGTCTAGCAGCATGTCCTCGATACCATCTGTAGACATATTCACGTCGATCTTATCTTGTCCATGAATCTATAATGCAGCTCATTAACACCCATCTCTTTCGTATTTAACTCCCAACGCCCAACTCTAGACAATATAGAAATTGACCTTTTCAACTCCGAGTTCGCCCGATAGACAACGGCTCCATTCAAGAAGAGATACAAAAAAACATTTGGAGGAGAATATAGTATTAGCATGTTAGATTCAAAGCCCGTTGGATCCAAATCATTTCTTTCCATCATGACACTAAAATGCCACCTCCCTAACCTTTCCAGCCCGTCCCCAAACATCATATTCTATCCACCTCGCTACGCCCCTTCTTCCCTTTGCTACCACACCCGCTGGATTCATGACATGACACCCCTCGTACGTCAAGCAAAACGCTGGACTATCTACATCACACAAAACAATCGCTGTAGGTAATGGATAGATACTCAGCGCATTTGAGAAATCCCAATGCTGGGGTGCGATATTTAGAGGAAAAGGTGAAAGATGTCCCTGATCGAGAAGTGTCCTGGTAAGGCGACGCGCGGTATGGATATCGGGGTCGATTTCTGGAGGTGGTGTGGAAGAGGGAATTGAGGAGGGAGGTGGTGACATGTCTATATCTTCATCTTCGTCGTTTTCAGGGCTTGACTTTTGAGATGATTTGAGAGTGACAGCTGTACGGCGTAATCGTCCACTGACGTCGTCGCGGAATACTACCAGTTCACAGCTCATGCCAAATAAGCTGACTCTTGCGGGATTGCTCGTCCAAATGGCCTCTCCATCTCCTTTCTTCCCGTTTTCTTTTTCCATTTCAGTATTTGCGTTTGCAAAGGCACGTTTTATGCGGGAAGTGAATATTTCCGGTACGGGTTTTCTGGGCAGAGGAACTGTAGACCCGGATGAGAATGCTGAAACCCATGCGTCGTTGGGGCCTGGGATGAAGATGAATGTTGCTGTACTTAGGAGGGTAGGATATTCGGAGAGAACGGCGGCGAGGGAATCAAAATATTCTTTGTATTCTATAGAGCCTCCTGATCCGCCCCGAGCCAATACGGCATGAGAGACGAAAGAGCCGAGTAGGATAAAGGTCATAGGTGTGCAGCCTTCTGGCTCAGATGAGTACAGTGAAAAGATCTTTTTGAGGGCTTGAAGAGTTTGAGGAATGTCGAGATGTACATCACCAAGAATGACTACACGGCCTCTGGATGGAGGCGGGGGATCATCCGTATCTGTGTCAGGGGGAGGTGGCCGGTGAAGCTTTTGTTCAAGTCGTTGCATTTTAGTGCCTAGGGCGCGAGAACTACCCACGCCTAGAAAGTCTACCCAGCCGAAACCACCGCCGGCTGTGGTATCTCCCTCACCGGCTGTGCCTAGAGTCACATGACGGCGTTCAGGAGGAGGATGGCCGATGAAGAAGCCGACGAATTTTCCAGAAATAGTACCTCCTACGCCCCCATTTCCACCAAGACGAGATGACGTCCCAGTTTCATCTTCCTCGTATGTGCCGTCTACGAGTACCATCATTCCAGGGGCAAACCAGGCGCTATCTTCGGGGATGGCTGTTGCGTGTGTAAGATCGAGAGCGATGCTGCCCGTCAGGTCATTTAT